GCATTGAAGTTCGCGGCAGGCTTTCGCTGATGGGTACACAGGGATGAGGCGTCCTTCCAATTCCGCACTGAGTTCACTCCAATGCAATCTTGTCGGGAACCCCGGATCTCCTGGCTGATTGCGACACAGTTGTGTAACGGAGGACAAAGGATACTGCGCAGCGCCGACCAATCCCGCCATAACAAGGAACATACCAGCAGATCTGTCGACCCTGTTGACGGATGTGAGAGAGAGATACATGACGGTCAGTTGGATGGTCGGTGCAGGCAAGGTGCAGGTTGACTCTCGTCCCCGCAGCTGCGCGTTGGCTGCGCGAGTGCTGCGCGTCGCGCCGTAGCCTTCGCTAAAAGTAGAAATGATCACCTGCACTAGTGGTAAGCGCTCTCATCGAGATGAGACCTGACCGCATTGAAGTCGAACTGCACCGTTTACTGGATGTTACAGCTATGGCAGGCAATGGTGGATACGCTTACAGAGTGATGCGTGTATAATGAAAATGATTTACACGTCCCCGTAGAGAGTAACAGGATAGCAAAAGAGAGGGTCAGGCGTACGATCTACTGCATCCTATACCTTAACAGTACCTAGTAGTCCGTTGCAATTAGACTCGTACTTGAAGAGCAATGGTCACATATCGTGTCGCGCGTGCTTGCTCGACATTCTGATACGATCACCGTATTTGTAGAGAAGGATCGGGATGGAGATGAAAACACATCCCAGCAGCGCAAGCAATGTACTGGCCCATCCTACGCCCATATTTCGGTACATCGCACTGGCGAACAGCGGGAAGGCGGCACCAAATGCCGAGCGAATGAGGTCATTCCCTGCCAACACCGATGCTGCATATGTGGGATAGGCATCCGCAAGGTAATTTAGACAAGCGTTCTGAAAAAAAAAAACCCCCCGTGCCAGTATAAGTCTGTATCTTACTCAGACATTCCGGCTCTCCGAGAGGTGAGACTTACAAAAAGAAGTAGAGAAGCGACGCTGAACAAGCTCGAGCCGATGATAGGCACGATCCAGTGCACGCTCTCCCGCGACGACCACCCGAACCACAGCATGCATATGGGGATGAGGAGCGAGCCGACGATCGCGACAGGCATGCGTTCCTCTGGCTTCAGGTCTCCATTTTCGTTGTGCTTGGGCTCCTGGTAGTAATGTAGGTAGTAGAAGAACGGCGGTATGACCACGAACGCGCCGAGCAGCACGCCTAGGAACGCGAGGCCGAGGAGCTGGACCTTGAAGTGGTAGATGCCGATGAAGACGATGGGGAAGGACTCAAACCAGATGTACAAGAGAGCGTAGATGAGGCCGATGTACATGTTGATCGCAAGGACGATGGGCTCCTGGAAGTTGAGCGCGAACGGCCTGACGAGGACCTCGATGGCAATGTCGCGTGGAGTCAGGTTTGCGGCCTCGATCTCGGATTGCGCCTTGATGTTCTCGTTGCCCGTCGCTTTACGCAGGCGGGAGGCACGGCGGTAGAGGATGTTCGCGGCGGATGTCTCTGGATAGAAAAAGAAGAGTAGGACGAGTGTGAAGGAGGATAACCACATGAGCTCCCATATGGTCCATCTCCATTTCTCCGCATGGGCTGCGAAACCGCCGATGACAGGGCCCATGACTGGGCTGCAGGTCTTCAAAGAACGCCAGTCAGTCATTGCGAAAATTGCCGAGATAGCCTCTTACTGCAAAAAGACCCCACAGCGTGATGCCGTACGCACGCTTCTTCGGAACATAAAGATCAGCGATAGTCGCACCACCTGTGGCTAAGATCGGCGAGCCGAAGAAGCCGGTCAGGAAGCGAAAGGTCATGAGCATCCCGTAGTCGGTAGCCAGCGCGGTGGGCACTTGAAGAAGCACAAACATAGCTAGTGTGAGGATATAGATTGGCATGCGTCCCACTTGAGGGAGCTCGCTCAGAGGCGACCAGACCATGGGACCTGTCAGTCGTGATCATTCGAGACACTAGGCTTTGTGATGCAGAAGTAAGGGGCGCACCTATCCCATAACCGAGAACAAAGAGTGTCAAACCAACGGTTGAGGCGACGACGCTGACATGGAAGTCCTCCGAGACACTAGCTATGCCAGCCGTATAAATGCCGGATCCGATGTACACAGCAAAGGTCAGGAGACATGTCTGGAACATGACCCAAGTCTTCTTCGGAGTCGACCAGTTCCAAGGATTCTGAGGTCCTAGTTAGATGCGAATAAGGAAACGCATATGCGCAAGCACGCACGTCGGGGTCGGTCGGTCCATACCAATCAACTAGTAGCGTATCCTTCCCCTCCTCTGCAAGGACCAACTCGTTTATAAACGTTTCTGCAGAACGAAGCGATGCCGATCGCGGTGTATCGGCCACCACCTCGATTGGCGGCGACTTAGATTCGTCCCGAGGAGATCGTGGCTTTCGTGGTGCAGGCCGACCCTCCTGCTCATCACGGGATCCCCACCCACGGCCGCGACCGTTCAAGGGGTCACTATGGTCCTCCTCGGGCACAATATTGTGCACTGAGCCTTCACCGGGTAATGGATACTCTGGCTTTTCATGGACGGCATCCTGCCACACCATCGGGAGGTCGATCTCATCGGGATGAGGAAGGAATTGTGTTCCGAACGCAAAACGAATGGAATAGCCCAGCAGTGTGTCCTGGAGGAGGCGAGCCATCTTAAAAACCGAATAATAACGAGGATGGGGGAAAGAGAGTCAAGCCTTACATGCGGGAGAGTGGACTATAAGAAAAACTTGAGCTGATTTCTCTTCGTGTTCTGCGATGCCGACGAGGATATGATCCTGGGCGGGTAGATGCAAAGCTGCATAAGCAGCTCCGGCCTTGACGGTCAGCAACTTACGACCTTCTCGAAGTTACTGACCGTCAACGGTGGCAGTTTTCGGCTGACCCACGCAAGGGACACACTGATCTCATCCAGAGTCACATACATCGAAGACCTGGCCGCTTCCAAAAGGCCCGGCCCTCTGACAGATTTCGCGTTTGAGGAAGGAATGCAATGCCCGTGGCTGGTGGTCTTCCAGCGTGTTTCACGGAGTGAATGAGAGTGAGCCTGAATTCCCTGTCGGTTTCGCGTCTCCGCCGAGATTGGCACTACTATATGGAGAAGTGGCACTTTAGCTTTCGCTGGAAAAGAAACGTGGACGAGCCACCGAGTATCAGGTATAGCCGCAATCCAGGATGGACCTTCGATCCATGGCGATCATCCTCCTCGGCGTAAAGTCTGGTCGAAATGCGTTCCTTGAAACGTTCTCACCCCAGGCCAATCCATATTATCTTGACAACGAATGACAACCTCTAGCTCCACCGCGATATGCCTAAGAGATTCCTCATAGAGAGCCACGAGTTTCCGCATCCGAAGAATCCAAGCCAGATCAAAGTTCGAAGAATTGGCGAGCATCTGTCACGTACCCTAGACTCTCGATCCTCGAAGATGTTCGAAGAGCTGCAGTCAACGCGTAAGCAGAGCACATGGCAAGACATCAGGGTCGTAGGTGGTCTGTTCGGGAGACCAGCGGTCCAGCACACGATTGAATGCTTAAGAAACGACCCACAGGGCGTGTTGGTGCAGAACGAAGAGAAGACTTCAAGATGCCCTCGCTGCGGCTGGCACTCAGGCTCATGGCACGGGAAAACCCGACCATTTCCCACGCTCCAAGCGCGAACGTCCTCAGTGGTCCAGACTCGAAGACTCGGACCAGTCGACCATTATGTTGACCTGTAAACTGCTACCCATGATACCATCCGACCGTCTCGAATTTGCCTTCACGACATCCGCGGACTGTTCCAAAATACCCCGCGTTCCACTCGCTGACTCTACTCTCGGTGTGCATAAAGTATCTCAACCCCAACTGTTGACGCACCGCATCGTCGTACCTCCTCAGCCCACAGATAGTTCTACTGGAGGCTCCCAGAAACTTCCTCTGGCGGCTTGGGAATCCCTCTACCCGGCAGGAAGTATCAGTCCGAGTTCTCCGATCAAAGGAGGCTTCGGATTCTACCTCTCTGGTCCGGAGGCGTTCAAAGCCGCGAGTGCAGATGCAAGAGAAGTGATCATGGGATACGAGGTCATGTTCGAGGAGAGCTGGGAATGGGTCAAAGGCGGGAAACTTCCCGGTATATGTGAGCGTGTCTCGTTCATCCACCGTGCCGCTCACTGGAGGACAGTGAAGTCGGTGGGATTGGCAACGCCGCGTACGGGTGCTCCGGCGGACGCAAAGACGAGCGTTGTAAGTGTTTTGATCTGAGACTCATGTGGCGGTGCGTGTCCATCCCTGCCAGACTGTCATCACACAAGAGTCTGGGCGCCCTGCAAATACTGATCGCCTGCAGCGCCAACGGCCTCGGGGAGCTCTATGCGTATCTCCCTCTTGACCCTACCAACACTGCACGCCTCCTCGCAGTCCCCCCGTTCTCACATCAGAATCCAGACTACGGGTTTTCCGTCGGCAGAGGTGCGTGGAGGTTCACGAGCGGGAAATGGATCAAGGTGGCCACACGGATCAAGATGAACGACGTCGGACAGGAAAACGGTGAAGTTGAAGTTTACATTGACGGGGAGTCCGTCATCCGCATCGAGGGTCTCGTTCTCCGGGACGACCCCGCTTCGTATGTGCAAGGGTTACATTTCCAAACATTCTTCGGCGGTAAGTTCCTTACACTGAGCAACGCTCCACTGGACCGCGCTCACGGCGTCCAGGTCATTCGGCGGACTGGGCATCGCCGAAAGATCAGCGTGCGTGGTTTACATCCGTCTCTGGTGCTGTAATTCGAGATTGTGGGAGGACGAGGGATGAATTGTAGATATCGGCTCCATAGGGGAATCCGGAAGTCGTGGAATCTCAAAAACCTACCTACGCTCATCGGCCCTTGGTAAAATATTGTATCTTGTTTCTGTCCGCCAATGATCGAATCTGGGCCCTGGGGCATACTCGTGTTCGACGGTCGACATGCCGTGTCAAAACTCAAAAAAACTATAACCCTTGGCATGGACATATCCGGAATTGAACCGGACACCTCTCGCAAACAGCAGATGCTAAGCGAGCGTGATAAACCAACTACACCATATGCCCTTGTGAATGACGCCGAATTATATGATTGTGACTTCCAGGTACATCAATAATCAAGCCATAGCACATTGTGCCATGCGCGCGCGACCGTGTCGTTCAAGTCTTCAACTTGACGTCCTTCTCTTCTCTTTGTCCGCCATACTCTCCAATCTTCTCTTGGCATGGTCTACTCACAACAGGGAGCAGGGAGAGCGGTACGTGTACATCTTGTTTAAGTGCCGCCGTGTAGATCATGCCCCCTTTCTCAACATGCGGGTAATTGAGCTTAATTCCCTGGCACTCCTGGAGTGCGATTCGAAGGATATGAGAATGTCAGCCACGCAGGAGGGACCGTTGAATATACTGCCAGGGTGCACGATTAGACTTTAGGACGACGCGCAATGTATCTCAGAGTGATAATGAAGGTACGCACCTTGTCTGTCACACGAGTCGCTCTGAATTGTAGAGAAGTTGTCCTCGTATAGACGAAACCCCATCTTGAGTCGGGCGGTCTTCGATTCTGAGGATCAATTCGAGTCCAAGCGATTCATTCTTCTACGCGTGATGTCGGTGCTCACTCTGCAGCTGAATGCCGAAGTCCCTCAATCGCCTAGCGCTCTTCTGCGTAGGTTGCGATCGTGACTTCAGAACTCCGTTATTTACTGGGCTAACTGGGCGGTTACTCGACTAAGACGATCCCCTAGAACTCTTGCTCGTCGTGAATTGCCTGTAGCTCGCCAGGTTGCATTCAATTGTTCTTCGAGAGCTTCCTCTGACAACATCTCGTGTGCTGGCTTCTTTGCGCATGAGTAGTCTAAGATGGCACCCTCAGTCGACTTCCGTTTCCCACTCTACGGACGCATGTGGTCCTGCCCATCCAACCCCAAACGCCCTCTTCAAGAATTCAACCATCGTCAAGATCCTCGTGTCTTGGCAGCGCTTGTTTTCCGACCACCAGCTCGCCCACGTCCACTTCGTCTGTCCTGGCAGTGCCCATATGTCCGCCATCCTCTCCCTCTCATCTTGATCTGCGATCCACCACTGGTAATACCACCATGTGCCACCACACGAACCGAGTGGCGACGATGCGTGTGCGTCGACTCCAGGAGCAGCGCGGTCGTAGAACCACACCGAAAAGAAGTGCGCTGGGTGCAGGAGGAAGAGCGCGTTGATAAGCGTCTGGTCTTTCCCCACGAACAAGGAGCGCTCGAGGTACAAGTCGTGGTATGTGTAGAACAGCCTGCGGTACGCAGCGATCGCGTCCGGCGTGCCACCGAAGAAGGAACCTGTGTCGTGAGTGAACCGTGATGTGAGCAGCGCCAACACGATTAGCACGTGGTGCTCACCTTCGCTGATGTCCTCGTCGACAGGGCCGGCCGGCTCTGTCCAGCTGCTGAAGTTCGACGATGGGAGACCCCACACCGGGAAGAATATCAGCTGGTCCCTGGGCGTGCCGCTCAGCCGCTCTCCCTCCTCGAACACCTGTTGAACGCGGCGTGCACCTGGCCAGTCCCTATACGTGTGGTCGTCGCGCATGCTGCCCGCGTCGCTCCAGAACGCATAGTGGTACTCCACGCCGCCTGCCCGCGCACTGCGTACGCCCTCATCCAAGAAGAACGCCTTGCAGTTCCACACGGCGTACAGCTCTGGGGAATGTAGCTTACTCTCGCGGTCCCACCCGTGCATCTCCTCGTATCGCGGTTCGAGACCTCGCAGCGGCGGTATGTCGAACGGCGAGGTAAAAGAGGTGTTGAGTGTCATGGGTAGGTCACCGCGCAACTCGCGCACGAGCGGCGCAAGGTTCGGTGGGCAGAAGAAGTATAGGTGGGTGGTGACGGGGGCGAGGAAGCGTGTTAGCCAGGCGTGGTAGTCCGACAGCGAATGCTTCGATTTTGGGAGCGGGAAGAACGCGGAGACGAGGAGGATCCTTGGCAGAGTCACGACGGCGGGCTCCAAATCCTGCGGGGAGGAAGTAAAGGCGTGAGATGAACGGAGCGCGCCAGGATCGAGATTGACGTATAAGTGGGTGGTGAACAGTATGAGCAGACAGAGCGCAGCGCCGAACGTTGTGTATCGCGCTCTTCTGCTCGCCAGTCTCAACATGGCGAAGATACAAGGGGAAGATAATGTTGAAATCCAGTGCCTCCGTTCATCAGCTCGAGGTTGAATATGCCAGTTGCTCACAGATGAATATATGATACTCGGATGAAATGACGACCTCAAGAGCGGTCGATCGCTAACTGACGCCGTTGGTGCCTCTACCGCCGCCTTGCAGGAAGGACTCGTGTATAATGGGTGCAGATACATATTTAATCTGGAGCGTTAGATAGATAGGAGGACAAAGGAAAATGCTATACGATACACTCGCAACTTGAAGTTGCTCGGTGACTGCCACTGACCGGACACCTATGAGTAAACCCTAACCTCGTGATGTGGTTCAACCGCCGGCTGCCGACTTGGAGAGCGACTGTACTGGTCAGCTACGGATCCTAGACAAGCCTAGACAACGACCACCGCGCTCAAGAGCAGGGTTGGCATGCACCTCTGTAATGCCCCGGTGAACGGGGTCATCTCCCAATGTGAGTTTGCCAATGTCAGCCTAGCTCATGCTCGTTAACAGCGCCGATTCACGGAGGTCGGTCAAAGATGGACACAATCCTGATCTTCCGCGGCACGACACGGCGCGTGTGACTCAGGTTCGTGTGGGGTAGAATTCCCTCCTTGCCGTCGCTGTTTCCGAGATTCAAGAAAGTCGGGCCCGAGGTGAGAGAGCGTCATGGTTACTCACGTATTTTTGTCACTAGTTATCGGCATGAGTATGAGGGTGATGTCAGGTGTCGGTTCGTGATGCAGGCGTTGTGGTCACACTACCGCGATCTTCAGTGCATCGAAGACATGCCAGCGCACCGATGTGGTTCAGGCGAAAAATCCACCCTCATTCAAGGGAACCGGCATCCGAAGATCTTCCCCATCGCCGTTACCAGCGAGAAATGTCCTTCGTCTTTCCGTCAATATAAAATGACATGTGACTAAAGGTGATTGTCGTCCAGACACCCTGCTCCCAGATCCAATATCCCTTCCCATGAGGCAGTTCATTTTTGCCAGCTTTTTTCTGTTCTCCGTCAGCGGTGTCAACGCACAGTCCAGTGCATGGGGTCAATGCGGAGGAATCGGGTGGTGAGTAACGACTCGGCGGACACTCACTTGCCCATATAGCGTGCTAAATAATGTACAGGTCAGGGGCAACAACATGTGTGTCAGGATATACTTGCACCGTGAGCAACCCATGTCCGTCCAGAGCATTTGCAGAGATCAGGCGATGTACTCTGACGATGACATCGCAGACTATTCCCAGTGCTTGCCGGGTACAGCGTCAAGCAGTTCGACTACTAGCATCGTAACGAGCAGCGCCACACCAACGACCACGATTTCAGGGTCGACGTCGCAAACAGCTACGACCACGTCGACAGGTGCCACGCCAACAGGTTCGCAGATCCGCGCCGACCAGGATCCCGTCTACCATTTCTATCTGCAGAATCAAGGTCAGGATGTCACGGCGCATAATTCACCGCCCAAGCCTTCGCTGATACCTCACCACCAAAGGCGGCGTGCCTGTCCTGGGACCGGAAGGTTCATCTGGGTATTTCACCATAGGCGACACCATCACACTCAACAACGCCGACGGCTCCTCTCTCTACTTGAATGTGAACGAGTCCGCACCCAATTCATACAAGCCACTCGTCCTCAGCAAATCAGCGACGACTACTGATTGGGCACTAGAAGGCGACACGATTATCGAGACGTCACCGAGGGAATTAAACTTCCTCGCTTGTGCCACGTCGAATGCAAACATATACAACGTGTACCTGCAAGAGGGCAACGACAACCCACCTGGATTGACTTGTTCGATGGTGTCGTTGCATTTGCCATGCTTGTGTTAAAGGATAGACCCGGACGGACAGTTTCAATGGTGGAGAACCTCGAGGTAACTCGGTGTGCGTATTGACATTCACGATGACATATTGAACGTATCGATACAGAAGGCGGTACTCTGGTATTTGTAGTAAACACAGGTCCCACCGTTGACAGTTGCAGCGGCGAAGGAATGGAATCAGTCAGCTTTCGTCAGGTAGTGCATATATTTTATGGATAATCTTTGGGAGTCATGGTGCTTAGGACCTTCGCGAGATGTTATAAGTGAGACTGAGCTGGCGGTCCGCATCGGGTGCTTGCGCAGCATTCGCCTCGACCCACAGCTCCTCCACCTCGCCTTGCCATTGCCATTGCCAGCTCTACGCTCGTCGTACGTTCTCGGCCCACCCCGAATTCACGCATCCTGCGTGTCATCTGGAAGATGCCCCGGACCTCGGCTAGACGCGACCTTTCGTACGTCTCCAAAGCCACTTTTAGTGAATGCTGTCTCTGGACACTGATATTTTGATGCTGAAAGAGCTTCGCCTGGATTGAAGGACTTATTTTATACTCACAGCTATAAAGGGCTTGAAGTATAGGTTCCCAGCCTATATGTTGTTCTCGAACTTCTTCTATGGGTGCGTCTCGTACCCACTTTCCATCTCGTACCCACTTTCCATCAAATGCCGATCCTTCGCCTCCCGGCACCGAATAGAATGTGACAAATATTACCAACGTTCCTTGGGCGATGGGATATGATGCAATATGCTGAACGACAATTAACAGGTACGCATGGCAGTGATACTTTGTCCGGCGTAGGGGGGCATCGATTAAGAATATCTTTGAAAACAGAAGAGATCGCTCGAGAAAGGGAGTGGCTCTCGGGAAAGAGCGAGCGAAAGCAACACAAGGAGTCAACTCTGGGATGGATGATGAAGCTAAAGGTGTACAGAACGATTGCGTTAGGTATCAACACGGTCCCATGAAAAGCTATGGTGGTCTAAGGCAGGTGTATAGGAGAAATTAATTCTGCTCGTAGCCGTCGTAGCGCGAGAAAGGCCGATCGATCATATCCAGGCACTACGAGAAAGCGGGAAAGGCTCGAGATCCTC